AGGCACTGATGTGTGGTTGACTTCTTTGGATTCCTTTCTGTTTTTCCTTTTTTTTTTAAATTTTGTTTTATCCCTCCAGCAGAAAGCAATTAATTGGGAAAAATCTAAAACAATCTTTAGAAAGTGACTGCAATGGCTGCTCTGTAGTACATACCTACTGACTGAAGGCTGTGCGTCGGTTCGTGATGCAGGAAAGCAAAATGCTATATATCTTCAGCTTGAAAAGGTTTTGCTACCCTTAAATTTTTGTGTTTCTCCAGAGAATTAATAATTATTTGAAGTCAAGACCTTTTGTGTCTTTTACACAGTCTTGTCAAAGAAATAATTCTGGGTGGCCTCTGTTGAGCAAGTTAGCAGATTTTTCACATAATAGAATTTACTTATGTTAAAGTGTGCAAGCTGACCTTGGCAAACCAGATGTAGCTTGTGATACCACTATGCTCATGGCAGTAATCAAAAGATATTGCTTAAATACTTTCTTCTATTTCAAGCTTTCCAAAGCGTAGTAGAAAGCTTAAGCTTTAAATAATGCTGTAGCAAAACATGATGTATTTTTTTCTTGTTCCACTTCTTTGCTTCTTGCTAGAATTTTGCCCTGTCCATGTGGTTGTATGCAGAAGAGGGAGAGACAGGTGCAATTTCTGCCCTATCTCTTCACTGCCTTTTCTCATCTTTTAGGAAGAGACATGGGGCCATCTACCCTCACTTCAGCCATGAGAAGGGAGCTTGGAGGCAACAGCATTTCAGCTTTGCCAATCATTCCTCAGCTCCTTGTCTCAGAAGTGAACATTCCTCCCCCTGAACAGGTTCACTTTTCTGTACGGGAGCCTTTATGCGTATGAAAGGGGAAAGCAATGACGTTTTAGCCTTTATAAGCCCCCCTTAATTGGACATTTCTGATGACATGGTGACCATACAGGTGATTGTTACTGTAACAGCTGTGTTCAAGAGGGATGCCACCATGCTGTCACTGCACATGATGGGCTCATACTAGCAACAGCGGTGTAGCTGGGTCTCTTTGCTGAGGAAGAGATTTGGTCCAAGGTACTCATGATTCTATATTTACCGCCAGGTGTGAGACAGTAAAATTATTTGGCATTTAATTTAAATATTTTGTTTGGAAGAGAGAAGTATTAGGGATTATTTATTTATTTATTTATTTATTTAAAGGGAAAAAAGCTTAGATTTGTGGATAGAATTTAAATTTTCAGGCAGAAGTAAGACTTAAGTAAGTAAGAAGTAATACAGACTTATTTGCTGTAAAAAAATAGTAATTACCTCAATTCTGTGAGTGAGGGGGAGAAAGTCACTTCTCTGAAGGCATGAAAAGCAAATTGAATTTTAAACCTTCCTTGTTTTTACAGTCTACATGTATTCAGCTAATTAATGTAATGCAACCTGGACAAAGAAATATTCATTTCCTCTGTGTTTCTCCTGATCTGAGCGCAAACATCAACATCCTCCATTAAATCAGAGATCTGATAAAGAAGTAGTCTAAAATGCAACTGCCCATTCACTCATAGCCAGGCTCTGTTATAACATGGTTTCTCACTTTTCTTTCCTCTAAAGAAATAAATTATGTAGAAGTACCTATAACTGAACAACAGTCCTCTGAGAGAGCATTCTTGAAAGCTCGAGTTAACAAGCTATTAGGCTAAAGGACAAGGTTCTGGAAAAATAGACTGTTAAGAAAACAAATTAATGAAGACATACATTTAGAAACTATGAGAAGTGTTTAACTTTTTTTCTTTTTTTTTTCTTAAAGACAGCATAAAGTTTCATAAGCTTATGAATGGGTGGTTTCTTCCTTCAGTTGGACACTGATGTTTCCACTGAATCAGGTGGAATCGTAGAATCACCAAATCACCAAAGTTGGAAAAGACCTCTAAGATCATCCAATCCAACCATCCACCTATCACCAATATTTCCCACTAAATCACGTCCCTCAGTACAACATCTAACATTTCTTGAAAATGTCCATGGTTGGTGACTCCACCAGCTCCCTGGGAAGCCCATTCCAAACACAACAAAACACAAACCTGAGGCTAAAATCTTTTTTTACTGTATTATACCAAGCTACCACTTCTGGGCCTGTTCACGTTGAATAATTTCACTTGTTCCTGCTTTTAAATATTTGCAAAAGTTGAAGCAGAAGCAGAAAGGTGTCACTTTTCTGACTGTATACCTCATAAAATTCATCTGAAAAACATTTTAAAAGAATTTATTGAGCTTTCAGAAATAAGGAGAAGGTTAGAATTGTGACAGCTTGTATGCACTTAACTAACCCACACTGCACTACCCCTACATTTTCACCTTATGTCCAGAGCCTTTAAACAATATGTGTCTCCTATATATACCTGCATATTTATTTTGCTACAGCTTTCTTGATCCAGTCATTGCACAGAAACCTGTGTTGGGTGTAAATTTGTGTTCTCTACTGAGGGAAGCAGCGTTTCCTTGGATCGTATTTTTGAGACTGTCAGTATGTGTTTAGAGAATGAGTCAAGAGATTGCAGAAGGAAAAATTCAGGGTTAAGATAGGTGAATGATGCCCTAGAGTGCTGACTTTTTGTGCCGTACTAAGCAATTTGTTTAAAATCCAGATTCTTACAAGTGAGTTCCTGTTTTTATGACTGCCTGACTCCTTATTTTATTTACTGAATGCTTCCAGAGATCAATGGGAACTGTTTTGAATGTGGAAAGTGTTATATAACACCAGAAATTCTCAGAAATAAGCGTCAGATTTTTCATACTGTACCTTTCAAATCAGTAGATGTATTTGACCTGACACTCTTTGTCTTAGCCTTCTTCCTTAAGGAAGTCTTATTCAAACAAATATTGCCAAAGCTCACAGATACTGTGGTTATGAATACTGAAAAAGAAAATAGGAGAATTTCCATAGCTTGGAATTAAGACACCTTAGTGCTGTACACACTAAGAAAATAGAACTGCTCATTCAGAAGCATTTGATCATTTGTAGGCAGCACACAGAATGGTGCTGAATGAGAAATGACTGTAGTGAGGTGCTTTGTGGTCACCTAATTAACCTGTATGCCATACAGTAGAAGAAAGAGTGACGTAGAATTACACTTTTCTGTTAGAAATGTCCCTGTGGATTTTCTTTTTTTTTTTTTTTTTTTTTTTTCAGATTTTTTTTTTTCATTCCTGAATTTTCCATGATTCACGCCATAGGAGCTGGAAATGAGCATGCACTCTGTCATGTGGATGCTCCTCCCAGTTCTCACAGCTCATGACAATTCCTACTTGTCTCTTCTCTGGGTCAGATTTCTACTATTGGTTCATTATCCTGGCCTGTTCTCAGTGTTAAGTAGTTCACCAGTGGCAGATGTTGTTGAAGACCTTGGTCTACACGTCCCTTACTCCATCCTGTTATCCACATTATGCTGACTCCATATTTGTTTCACTCCATTGGTTCCTATCATGACCTGGCTAAATCTGCCCCTCTCTAAGTACCATCATGTTTCCCCAAACTTGTACATGCCCCAAACCTTTGATACTGAACATTTCTTTCCAGGACCGCTTCCTCACTCGTCTAGATCCCCATATCTGTTTTGTTTTGCAGTGGGTACAACCTGACTCTAGATTTGGGATACTCAGGCTTTTATTCTGGCAGTGACGCTCAGTTTTCCCAGAAGAAGATGGGAAATGAAAGACTCTTTGCCCTGCACTTCCTTATTTTATCAGGGAGAAATTGCTGTTTAGTCATCTTCTCAAAAGTACTTAAAAATCCACGAAGGAGAAATTCAGCAGTCTGTAAGCACTAAGCACCACTGTTAATGAAAAAAAGGAAATAAAACCAAAGTGAAGTTAGTGGTTGTAGTCCATAGCAAATGCTCAGGTAGTTTTCCACAAAGGCACAGGGAGGCTTTCAAGCCATTCTAGTGCTGGGCATTACTGCAGAAATCTAGCAGCATTTTTCTTCGAAGCATTGGCCCTGAAGAACAAACATCACTGGCTTCGGGGAAGTCAAGTCAGCTTCAACGTGATGTCTCCTAACATTTGTTTTCCTTGCTGGATAATTAAGTACTGCGTGTTCTGAGCTGCCCGAACCTGTGTACGCGGCCATCTGCGCCTGCTGCCATATGCTTCCCTCAGCTTGCCGCAGCCAGAAACTGTAAGTGCCTTTTCCAATGGGTGAGACGTAGCAAGGGATTATCTATCCTAACACCAAGACAGTATTTCTCTGGAGGAGCAGCAGGGGTGAAGGAAGAGGTCTGTTGGTTTTCATGCTTGCCACTTACTGCATTTGAGGGTAATCCTTCTGCAGAGTGGCTGCCTCAGATACTGCATGCAAAAGACCTTGTCGCACAGTGCTGCATATGCAGGGAGATGGGTTGTGTTGTTGTTTTTTTTTCTCCTTACTGATGTATCTTCTATTTTAAATTTAACAATTTCCTTTCTGCAGAGTAGCAGCAATGTTCTTTGACACCCAGCTCTGTAGCTTTGCTTGATAGCATAACAGCAGTTCTTCAGAAAACTGGTTTTTTTGGGTTTTTTTTTTTTCCCCCTAATCCTGTGCCTGTGAGCAGAAGTTGAGAGTTACAAGAGGTCATACTCAGGTTTCCCTGCATCTTTATTTTTAGCTTCATAGATCATTTATGAGCAAACTTTGAAGATGTGTGCAACCAGTCAGTAGCATGCATCCAGAATTTCTCGTGGTTATCATTATCCCTGTATACGTATGTGTGCTTAGATACATAAATATATTATGCAGACTCCATGAAGAATCCCTTCAAAAGCATTGCTAGGCAATTTTTACCGTAAGAGTTAAAGATTTGAAGATTAGAGTCCCATGCACAGTTCCCATGGGCCTATTTTTAGTTTCTCTTATGGGAAGAATGGCAAAAAATAGACCACAACTGTGACTTCAGATTTAGTGCGCACAATGTTTATAGGTTAGCTGACAGGAGCGTATGCATGTGTATATGCCACAGGACTTTAGTACTGCATTTCCTGTACATTCATTAACTGGACTCTGAGTAGAGCTACTGTACTTTGAGTGCTCACAACAGTAATTTTAACATGCTGCTGTACAATATATCACAGCTCTGAAATGATATTTGCAGCCTTGGTTACTGACCTGAAAGATTCATGTTTCTCCACCAAGAGGTTTCTTGAGTTCAGCAGTGTATTTCTGGATTTGTCCACAATGCTTTGCTCCTCTACTGTTCTCCCTTTTTACAGAAGGTGGGGATGGGGAGAGGATGCACATGGGTTTGTTGCATTTATAGCCTTCAAGTGCTCTACTATGCTACTGGTGCTGCATAAATTTAAGCATAGGAGGTGATACGAAATGCCTTTTCATTCTCTCTCGCTTCTATGGTTGCAGTTTTCACCTTCAGCTGCCTATGCTGATTTTCTAAATTTTGTTTGTTCCAATGGGTCATGCTCAGGCTGGAAGGCAATCATTATTCCAAAGTGTTAACTGCAGTGCTTATGTGGCTGTATGACTCTAAGAGTTCATGCACTGTGTTCTGATGCTCTTTTTCAAGCCATGGCTGCAGGGATCACACGAGAGGCAGGGACGTAGAAACTGCTGTCTCTTCTCTGGAAAAAAAAAAAAAAAAATTATTTAAGCATTAAGAGTTTTATCAGACCAACTTCTGCAGTAATTAACCTTTCCATGGAAATACTTGCCTAGTGTTTTTCAACTAACTTTCAATTGTAGTTGTTTCTCTACAAAATAAAATTATTTGCCTGTTGACTTAGCATCTGAGAAGAAAAAAAAATGAAAAAAGGTGAGCATCTGTGCAAGGTTCCCCATCCTGTGGACTTCATGCTTTTGTGTGATTTTATAACTTACGAAAAGAAGTGATAATGCTGAAGTTAAAAATATTACTATCCTGTAAGTTGGAAAGAGAAAGCAAAAGCCACAGCTTAAAAAATTGGAGCAAGTACTGAAAATATTTCATGAATGCTCCATGCCCTTTCAATTTTACACCTACAGAGTATTTGCACTTAAAAACAGAAGCTTGAAGAGTTCCCATCTGGAAATAAACAATTAAAAGATCCAACCCTTTGTTGTTCATCACTCAGAATCATAGAATTGCTCAGGTAGGAGAAGACCTTATAGATAATCAAGCCCAACCACAACCTAACCATACTATCCTAACTCTAACAATCCTCCACTAAATCATGTCCCTGAGTACCACATCCAAACCATTTTTAAACACACCCAGGAATGGTGACTCAACCACCTCCCTGGGAAGCCTATTCCAGAGCTTAACAACCCTTTCTGTAAAGAAGCTTTTTCTGATATTCAACCTAAACCTCCCTTGGTGCAACTGAGGCCATTTCCCCTTGTCCAGTCGCCAGTGAGAAGAGACCAACCCCACTCTCACTGTAAGCACCTCTCAGATGTTAGAAGAGAGCAATAAGATCTCCCCTCAGCCTCCTTTTCCCCATACTGAACAGCCTGAGTTCCTTTATTCTCTCCTTGTAGTGCACATTCTTCAAGCCCTTCACAAGCCCTTGTTGCCCTCCTTTGGAAAGGGCAACTTACTGGGAGACCAAACTAAACACTTCACTGCCTACAGTATGCAAGTTCATTGGCATGGCTTTTCATCCATTGTGCTGGAAATGATCGTTCAAACCTCGATTCACTGGCCATAAAGGAGCAAACTATTCGAACAACTCAAAAAGCAAATTTCTGCCTTGCCCTCATTTTTCTGCTCCTCTTTGTCATTCTCTATTTATGGAAGAGGGTTGAAGGAGGAAAGGCAAATACATCTCTACTTCTGAAACTTTACTTGGATGGAAGAGATGTTGGATACTGTGGCCGCAGATCCTGCACCTATTTAAAATTTAAATTTAAAATTTTATTTCTCTTCTCTGTGACTGCAGTACCCCAACAGCACTGAAAACTGACACAGTGCCTACACATGTAAAAGTAAAACAAATACACGAGGTAGAGCAAGTTTGCAGTGATAGATCATGAGGGTGGGATGGCTGTATTCCTTTAAAAAAAAAAAAAAAAAAAAGGATGTCATCTGATGTGTTTGCCTTCCATTCCTATCTGAGAGCAGAAGGCCCAGCAGGGAGGCCTGTCGTCTCAGCCCCACTCCCTGTGGTCTCCCTCACCGCTTCTCCTCAGCCACCACTTCCCAGCCTCCAGCCTCCTGTTGGGGTGGTGACGTCAGGCCTCGTAGCAGCAACCCTGTGGCGAAGCTGTAAAGCATTATGCAGGGCGAATAAGAACTCTCTTATGAGGTTCTGCAGCTGGCCGGTTGCAGGCGCATAGCAGCGGGAATGTTTTGAAAGAAAGGCACTGCCTGACAAAGAACCCAGTCTCCTGATAAAGGTTTATACTGGCACTTCCCCGTGTTTATAATACCATATGCCAGGGGCATGGCCTCTTTTTTCATCATATTGTTGTTTAACCTAATGAGCTTGTAGGTCACGGAGTCTGAGAAGCAGAAACTTGATATCGATATTATTTTTTCCTTACATTTCTCAGGCTGGAGTTATGCTATTATAGCTGTGTTTCATATATAAAGTGAAGACAGTTTGTCAGGACCAATCAATTCTGTAAAGAAAGAAAATTTTACTTTTGAGAACTTTCTCAAAATTGACTAAATATCCCCTGCTTTTTTTTCTTCTTCTTTTTTTTTTTTTGGTGTAGATATTCAAGATTGTTGCTTGCTTTTTCCTATGTTAGTTTATCATTACAGGATAGTATAAGCATAGTTGTTTTCAAGGAGGATTTGGATGTTTTTAAAACCTCTTTCCCTTGCAACCTAACCTTAATAAGTTTTTCCTAGATCTAGGTATTAAGCCTTGCATGATTGCGCTGTTCTTCTGTCAGTTACTTTGATAACTGGCACTTCAAATGCCCATATTTGAACTTTGTAGTCATTTAGAGTGATTGCTCAGTGAAATCTACAGTTCTGTCGATAGCTAGAAAGGCTTTGGGTCTGATGTGACCCAAATTTTCAGGACAGTAGCCCCTGAGTTCTCCAAACTGGGATACTGGCCCTCAGAAGCTGCATAAAACCAGGACACTTCCTTCATCCCGGAAGAACTTGCAGTTAAACTGAGTTTGGGCTTGAGGAAAGATTTATTGTGAACTGTTTCAACACTACCCTCAGCCCCAAATAATATGCATGGCATGAGGGTGCATCCCTCCATTCGCTTATTCTGAAAGTTGCATTTATGGCTTTTTGCAACCGTTGGTGTTAGAGCATCTCTTCGATTGCTGGAGGCTGAACTGTGGGTACAGCGCAGGCTGTGTCCTCCTAGGGCTGTACAAATTCTCCAGCAGTACCTAGTAGTCAACCTGGCATGACTTTTTAGCAGTCATGAGTTTGTTGGACAATGCACTGGCAAGAAAAAAAAAACCAAAGCACTCCTAGCTAGGACATAGGCTATACAAAACAAACAAAACCAAAAATAAGCAGAAGCAAAAGCTAGAAAGAAGCTTGGACTCTTATTTTTGCTTTCCTTACTGGCTCTTCAAGGTACAGTTTATCTCTTGTCCTATACCACCTCCGTGTCTCAAGACTCTGCAGTTATTTCTACAGCTGACTGTAAAGTACACACAAAATACTTGTGTTCTGAAAAACCTTGGCAGTAAAATATTTGTTTTAATCATTGTATTTTTGTTTCCTTTGCTTTATCTGCTGTGTGGTAAAAACAACCTGCACAGTGAGAGTAGACTTTGCAGTTTTCAGTTTGCATTAAAAAGGTATCTTTGTTTCCTTGTGCTTGCAAATGAAATTGCTGAGCTATTGTGGACTATTATTTCAAATCCTTCTGCATTGCAAGTGACTTGCAGATTGCTTTTCATCTCCTTTCTCTTGGAAGGGGTGGGTGGGATCCCTTACATGAGCAATGGAGAGCCCAGAGCAAAAGGCAGAACAGCAGGGTGTTTGAGCATTGGCTGTTCTCACACCCCATCAGGCAGGCAACTGTGCACCGCTGAATCACTCTGTAATTGTTTTGTAGAGTTTTTCTCAACAGAGCCATTTTTATCTATTTGAGTGAGCTTTCAAGCCTCTTTCTGTCACATGGGTGGGACAGGCTTTTTTTACCAGTCTCAGCCAAGATCTGACAAAAAATCAGAGATTAACTGCAACCTGATACAGGTGGGTCTTTGCTCGCAAGTGAAGCTGCTGCTTGCTCTTCTTCCCACTGAGACCTGGGGACAACCGTAAGAGATTGGTGAAGAAGAATGAAGCACCTAAAACTGCCCATTTAATCTCTATCTCTTGCTAGCTTGCTTAAGTATGTATCCCATGGTAGTAGGGTAGCCTTTAAAGAACAAAATAAAAACGAGAAAGCACTTTTTTATTAATTTGAGCAGTTAGGTGTATGAGGCAGGCAAATTATGAACTCTGAGCCCTCTCCATTCTCATCCTTCCTTTGTTTCTTCGGGGTAGATTTGAAGGGATGGTCATGGCCCTTTCTGGTTACTGAGGCTTAGACGATCTGATATTCAGTGAATGTTTTATTCTGCAGATGTTCCTTCCTTTATGTAAGATATATATTAATTAATAATGGAAGAGTTGGAAGATTCTCTGCTCTCTTACTATGGGTTGGAGAGGAAAATGCGTTCTCTCCTCAGTAAGCCAACCTCCCAGTCCTCGTGCATAACCCTCTGCAAAGGGTGGGCTGGTACTGAGTGACACAGCCAGCATATCAGATGTGTGTGATGTACACAGGAGATGTTTGGCTCAAGTCAGCATGTAAGCAGCATTAGAAAGGCCTTCTGTTGATATCTGTACAAGTGAAATTCCTCCCTGCTATGAAATTCTAGACCTATGACTCCCCCACATGCAGCAAAATAAAAACAGCCATCTGCTTGCCATGTTCTTAGTACATTCCTGTTTGGGGTTTGTTGTTTTTTCTCCCTTCTTTCTTCCAAGAAAGTTGACATCCTACTTCCAGCCTCCTACTACTAGGATATTAACATAGATGGTAATCGAAACTAAAGACTGCTCCAGGAATAACTGCAGCCATTTTCTGTGCCGCAAAGTTTAAGGAACCTGTTCTAGATGCAGGTCCCCAGGTAGAGGTGAGTCTGTAGCCAGGAGGGTCTCTGCAGGAAATGGCTATCAAGGTGCATCACAGGCAAAAAGACATGCAGACTTAGTTTCCCATCGTTTTGCACCTTGTTGCTATGTGACAGGCAGTGCCAGCTAGCTGAAGCATTTGTGCTGAGGCTGAGAGTCCTCTAAGTTTGTGCCCCAGCTCAAGCCTGCTTTTAAGTGCATATTACTTGATTCTTGTATGAGCTCCAAGGATATTCCCTCTCCTCCTCTGCCTCCCATTAAGTAACAAGATTACAGCAAACTGTTGGCCTAGATATAGCTTGCCATGCTCCATGGGTTGTAGATCAGACTCTGACCTCATTCTGTCTTTGCTCCCTGATGTCTGCATTCTGTGAAATCTGCTGGGTCCTTTCTCCCTAGGGCTGTCTCTCAATGCCATCCTATTATGCTGAGCTGCAGCATCCCCAGCCTCTAACACAGGGCTGAGCTGGCTGCTGGGTGCATGCCTGGTACCCCTTGGCCTTGGGAAGGTTGACTGGTCTGGGAGGTCGGGAGTTTGGCTGCTCTCACAGCGTGGAGAGATACCCAATGGCTGGATTTTGCAGGGATTTCAGGAAAGGTTTCCAAATGCAATTTGTTGTCCAAAGGAAGTAGCTTGAATATTTTGAAATACTCTGTGAGTAAAGTTTAATTACCACCAAAGCAGAAAAACCGATTTGGGTCAGTGAACCCTTTTAAGCCTGAAACTATAGTGTGGGTTTTTCCTCTTTTCAGATTTTTAATTCCAATTCTATGTAGTAAAACAAAAAATGAAACGCTGTTATTCCTAGATATGAAATGGGAGGTTCTGGTGTCCTGGAAGTGTCCTTCTGCTTCCTTCCAGTATTTGCATTCAAAATGAAATATTTTGTAAATTCATTATGGTTTCAGTTACCTCAAACTGAAACCATAATGAATTTGTGAGGATATTAGAGCTATGGTATCCGTGTAGCACATTTTCAACTGTCTCTCAAGTCTCTAGCTCTTGAAATCAAAACTGAGCGTCTATTTGCGCAGCAAGTCGGTAGGAATTTCTTGATAGTCTGTCCTTTTGCAACAGCAGATAGTTAGGCAGTGGATAAGCTACTGGGTAAATTTTCACATGCTTTCTGACCTTTCTGATGCTGGCATTGGCTTGTCTTCTCAAGTAGCAACCAAGATAATCTGGCCCCTGAGATAAAGAAGAAGAGATAAAGTTATTCTTAGCAATCTCTTGCTTTGGTTTTGGCATTTTGTTCTGTCCTGTCCATCCTCCTCGCAGGGTGGAAGGATGCAGCTTGTTTGTTATGGTTGACCATATCTACAGTCCTAGCTTTCGATATTGAGCAGAGCTGAGCTTTGCCCTTCGGGGTTTTCCCACCAGCACAAGGACAACCCGCTGTGTTCTGGAGCTGCTACAAACCTTCAGGTTTCAATCCTTGTGTTTGTTTGTTTCTCCCTTCACAGTCCTGGTAGTTGGAAGGCTCCTTTCTGACAAAGAGGAAATTCAGATTCCAGGAACTGGAATTTCTAAGAAAACATGAAATGCTTTGAGAATTATTGTCCCTTCAGACATAATCTGTACAACTGCAGAAAATCAGCATATGCATCTTCTGTAACTTGTAATGGGAGTGTTTAGTAATACCACAGGAAGAGGTTCCAAGTATTTTGAGTGTTATCTCTCTATATTTTTATCTCCTTATTTCTTGCACCTCTGTGTTTAACACTGTAGAAAATGTTGATAGCATCATATGTAGAGAGAGTGAATCCTACTTTTTAGTCATAGGACCGACAAAGCATGCCATTATATACTTTAAGCAAACTGTTGCCTGGCAGCCCTCCTGCTTTTTTATGGCCATATCTTCCTCATCTTCACGCTGCAGGTTGCCACAGAGGAGGGCATTTTCTCTTCACTGCAAATATTCACTTCTTTGCATCTTCTTGGTACAAAATCCATTTCCTCCCACCAGACTGGCTGTCACTGCCAGTCCAGCCTGAGCTTTCTGGATTTCTCCCTAACCAGCGCTGGTGTTCAACATGACTGCCTTTCACTGAGGATGACTGTAAGCCCTGGTCCCAGGACCACACCACGTGTGTTAGAGAAGAGGGGACGGATGTGGGGGAATAAAAGTATTAGGTTAGGAAAAATATTTAGTATGTATGCATTCTTGTTTATGTTCTATATTTAGGTATGAGAAGGGAAGTGATTTTTTTTCCTCTTCTGCAGCTTTCTTAAACTTATAAAGCATCTGTTCCTCAGCTCTTGTCACTGCTGCTTGAAGCAAGGTTGCTGGTGGCCCTGGTTCTCCTTTAAGGAGGCTTTATTCTGATCAGAGAATCACTGAGCCTACCAGAGGTGCACAGGCACCCTGCCTTCAACCCTCTGTTTTCCTCCTGTTTTATGGAACAGGGGGTTTGGTGCTAATAAAGTGGATAAACTGCAGTTTATCTACCACTTTTCCTTTTGAAAAAGGAATTACATGGAAAAATGGAAAGGGGAAGAGAGAAAATAGTCTCCAATTCATGAAGCTCTTGTAGGGAATGCTTTTGTGCCAGAGATGCTTCGTATACCACAATCACTTGATCGCTATGAGTAAATTGGAAAGCCTCATGAGGATGCTTTATTCTCCTGGCACTTCATCTCTGCAGCCCTTCCTTCCACTGTTAATCTCTGTGTCCCAGTGTGCAGCTGAAGTGGTTTTGCCATCTTTAAAACTTGGGAAGGTTTAGGTCAGGTTTGGAGCACAGCTGTTGATTTCCTTCTTCATTCAAGTGGTTTTATCTAAGGCCCTCGATGAGTAGAGGATTGCAGGCTGTTCTGCTACAAGCGCAGGGGAGAAAGTTGCACTATTTTTGATCATTTGAGGTTTCCTAGCTTTCCCGTTTTACTTTACTTTAAAAAAGGAAGGCTGTTGATATTTGAAGCCTGTCCTCTCTCTGATATTTAGAGGACTGAACAGTACATTTTCCAAAAGAGTGATAAGATCTGGCAGCTGAACATGAGAATAATTCAGTTCCCTGGTGTATTGCCTTGACTCCCCCAAAAAAGAACTTGGACATAAATAGTTGGTCAAAAAGAAGCCTATGGTCTTGTCTCGTGAGCTGGAGGTATTTAGTTTCTGTTCTCAGTTTTACAGAACTGTAAATGCTGGGTAAATGCCTCAGTTATCCATCTGTGAAAGGGAGATGAATCAAATGTTTTCCACAAGTTTGTATGGTGATCTGGAAATAAGTGCTTTAGAAGTGGTTGATGCTAAAATTTATCTGATTTGCAGCTGATCCTTAATAACAGTGAGAGACTCAAAGCTATCTTACAGAGTCAGGATAATTGCATTTAACCTAATCTCCTGGACAAGCCTGGTTCCCAGGCATAGGAGCAAAAACAAAGGACAACATCAGGCCATACCGCGTTGATGGAAATACTGTTATTAGCATTAGTGCATCTGTCATCAATACAGATCTAGAGATCTTCAGATAGTCACAGGACCAGATCTCTTCTGCTCTTTAGCACTTAGCAGTGCTATGTTTTCTTCTTCTCTTCCTTCTTTCCGTTTCCCCTTCCTCTTCCCCTTTTCTTTTCCTTTTCCTGTTCCCTTTCCTTTTCTTTTTCCTTCTAGCTAGAAATACAAGTACCTTTCCATCTGGACTCTCAGGATTAGGGTAAAGTGATGTATTACTGTTTACAGAAATGACACTTGCTGAAGAAAAATATATATTTTACAGAAGTTGAACATACAAAGATGAAAAAAATATTTGAGACATAGGAAGAAGTAGTTTAAATTACTTTTTCATCAAAGATGATAGGAGCTAAAGCCTTTGTAATGAGGTTGAATGGAAAAGAAAGCTCTGTTTTTGAAGGACTGCAGAACATCTTGTCATTAGAAAAGGAAGTTCTTTTGTTGTTTTTTTTAATCAAGTTTGTTACAGGATTTTATGTCAGCAACACACATAATCAGATTATGTGAGAAATAAATGTCTAGAAAAGAAGGAGCGAGCAGTGAAGGGGCAGGTAGCTGTTCATATGAGAGAAAGCAAATTTCAGAACTTTTCATTTGAAATAGATGAAGCTTCCTGATATGCAGCCACAGAAGTGCTTCTTAATTTTGTCAAGCGTATCTGATAAACGTAGTTTAGGCAGAAATGTTTTTTTCAATAGCAGTCACCCAAAAAATGAATGTTTCAACAACTTTCCAGCCATCCAGTTTAGCAGAACCAAAAATGCGGTCCTGAAACAGAGAACAGGGGCAGCCATACATCTCAAGCCCACTCTTATCTTCCTACATCAAAATCCTTCTTTTTATGAGGATCCCTTTCTTGCCATGTTCTCAGTCACTCCAGAAGTCCACCCACTGTGTTCATTTGCACAGTGATATCCCCAAATGGCATATGCTCTATACATCCCTTACACATGCACTACGATAGAGATTGCCACTCTTGTGGACTCTGGTTTTGCTGTTAGCAGTGTGACGCTATGGAAACACTGCCTGGGTGACCACGTGGAATTAAGTGCTGGCAGACAGCGTTGCAGGGGAATGTATTTTATGATATCCCTGTAGGACAATGTGCACTGTTTTATTGCTTTAAAAATAAAATCTTAGAAATAAAGCCTTTGAAGAGATGTACTGGTTTGAAAGGCAGGATTTAAAATCATGGAAAAAAAACTGCAGCCATTGTGAAAATGTACTTTGACTTCCAGAAACCTCCACTGAAGCTGCTCCCGTTGGAGGGGGAGAAGCAGAGTGGTGTTTCCCCTCGTACAGCACAAGCCCAGCATTCCTGTGCCTGACTTTTGTCTGTTTATATCCAGTATCTCTGCAATCCAGATGGGGAAGAGAACGTGTGACAGCGTGTGTGTGATTTGGAGCAGCAGATGGGTGCGAGTGACAAACTGTTGCGTGTGTAGGCACCTACCTAGAGATTACTCAGTCCTGCCTCTCTGTGTTGTTGTTTTGTTCCCATGCACCGTTATCAGGGAGGGTTCTGGCATGCAAGGCCTCACCTAACCTGACAAGGATCCTGAGCAGTCATCCCCATTCTGCTGTCTCTCAGTACGGCTGTCAATCAGTGATGTACTTGCCATGTGAAGGAGCACTGATTGTGTTAAAAAATGGAGAGACAGAATAACAAGGTGGGATTGACTCTGCACTGCATCTCCTCAGTAAAGATATCCTGCATTGGTGCTTTGTTGTTCCCTGTGTGGGCCTGTCATCCTGCGTTTCTTGCCCTGCTTGAGCTGCCTTTCCCTATCCTGCTCTTGCTCTGTATGCATGCTGCATAAAGAGAAAAGCAGTGGGAAGTTTGCTGAGAGAAGAGGTGGGTGTTTCTGCTGCTGTTGTACACTATGAGCTTTGATGTCCTTGCTGCATGGGCATGCCCTTATCAGCCAGTACAGGGCTTCACATTTTGTCCAAAGGCATGAAAACGATGCCACTTGCAGCAGCAGTGAAATTTACAGCCCAAATGTATTTTTATGTGCACTGGCACTCTGCATCTTTGGACAGAGAGGTCTAAAACCTGCACGTAATTCGCTCACCTGAGCCAGTCTGGTGAACGTCAGCAGGGTGAGCAGCGCTGTGGTCACACATGTGGATGTGCTCACTGTGCTAGCAATGCAGACAATGCAGGGTTCAGAGTCTGTTCTTTCACTTCTCTGTGTGTTTGCTCTGCCAGCTCTGGTGTCAGGCTGCATTGGAGTGCCAAGGCGGAACCTCACTCTGAGACAGGGTGTCAAGCACCACCATTGGGTGTCTTGGAGCCCCTAAGTCAGAGGTGGGTAATCCAATCCTTGTGCTTTTGGTCCAAAACATACTCTGTAGCCAGGAATCTTCATGTGAATCCCTGCGTGAAATGATCATGATGACTGGGAAAAACCCCCAGTTACTGCTGGGCAGGGCTTTGATCCCACACGAGTGCCCTGCCTAGGACAGCTGGAGGAGAAGCAGGAGCTGGGCTGCTGGGGAAGGGGGTGGGTGAAACATGTCGTGCTGGGAGAAGATCACTGAGCTGATTTAATTAGTTCTGTTTCACAGGATTCATTTTTGCTCGGGTCACTGCTACATTCATCTATTTGCTTTTTTCCCCCCTCTTAGCAATAGACAAATGCAGGGTGATAATTAATTTGGCAGGTTGATTGAGATTGGGCGGCGGAGAGGGAAGTTTTCCTGGGTGAGTGATGAGGCACTGCTGGTCGAGCTTAAAGTGAATAGTCTGAAATAGAAAGTAGTTAGTATAAAATCCCCCCAAGGGTGTGTTTAAGCTGGATGTACTTTGAGTTTTGACATTGAGGTTTTTTTGCAAGCTACCAGGCTGTGTGCTGCGATTCTGGGACATTTGTTAGCTGGGATCTGGCTGTTGGAATGTCAGTGCTGTTCTTCTGTGTTGGGAAACCTCATAGCTAGGAAAACATGGTATTAATGATAGAAGTCTGTGTGGGTATTAGGCTTGGAATTAGGGTTGGCAGGATGATGTTCTCTGTTTTCCAGGCAGCCCTGGGAGCCAAGGCTTCACCTGGGCAGGCACAGTGCTGCTCCCATGCTGGTGGAAGGACTGCTGGGCTGTCCTTCTAATATACTCGAGAGAGGCCTCATTCCTGATGTCTTGACATTTTTACTAATAAAGCCCTGCTCTCCCTTACTGTGCTTCTATTTATCTTAATGGGCACCAGGAAAATTATCTCCTGAAACTTAAAAAAAACCAACACCACCTTTTTATGCCTCTCTGCTTCACCTATTTTAGCCTCACCAAGGGCTGATTATCGTGACTGTTGGGCTTTGTGCTTCATACCAGTCAGACGTTCAGACATCACATTACCACAATAAAAAGATTGGTTTTCTCTTTTCAGTAAGTGCATGCAGTAGCAGCAGAGACCTGATTTGTTCTGCTACTTACTGGATTTCCATTTCTGTGGGGGAACAGCAGTGCAGTGCTCGTTCAGCTTCTCAGACCAAAGCGTTTGGTCCCCTTCATGCCCTTCCTTTTTGTAAGCAGCTGTCTGTTCTGGTGAGAGGTTCCAAGTTGGCAGCCATGCCAAAACACCCTCTAGTGTGCACAAAGAAAATGCAGTGGAGACGCAAGCGAGTCATGCTTCATCCATCCCACATCAGTGTGGCTAGGTTCCGTCACAGAAGAACCACTTCTGAAGGGTAAATGTCTGCTCAAGCTTCCATACTTACTCAGTTCTAAGATTTTTGTTGTTTCTTTTTCCCCCCGCTGAGATTGCCAGTAAGAATATTGATTTGACAAGGTTTTGTCTTTTCCTTTTTTTCTTCTTTTCCTATGAGGTAAATAGTTATCCACTGGGAATTGCGTTGGGAAATTCCTGTTTATATATTGTGTGCCAGAAAGTACTCAACTGTTAGCTTAGTGCACTGATTGAACTAATTGAGACTCAGCTGCCTTCAAAATGACCTTTTATGTTTTGAGTTAGCTTTGTAATTCACCTAATATACTGAGAGCTTGACTGAAAAACACTTAAACATCTTTCTGTTCCTTCAATTTTACTGTGCAAATTTGATTGCTATGCAAAAAAGAATCCTCTGTATCTTCAAGGAACTGATTTTTCAGGAAGCAGGTACTCACAGAATCATAGAATCACAATCACAGAACAGTTTATGTTGTAGGGGACCTTAAAAATAATCCAGTTCCACACTCCTGTCGTGGGCAGGGCTGCCACCCACTGGATCAGGCTGCCCAGGGCCCAATCCAACTTGGCCTTGCAGGGATGGAGCATCCACAACTTCTCTGTGCAGTCTGTGCCACTGCCTTACTACACTCTGAGTAAAAAAATTCCTTCTAATATCTGATCTAAATCGCTCCTCTTTTAGTTTAAAGCCATTCTTCCTTGTTCTGTTAGTATCAGACCGTGTAACAAGTTGGCTCCTCTCCGGCTTATAAGCCCAAGGCTGCAGTTATCTTTTCCAAGCTCAACAAGCCAAACTCCCTCAGCTTTCTTCATAGGTGAGGTGAGCCATCTCTCTGATAATCTTTGTGGCCCCTCGGAACTCACACTGTGTGTAGGTTGGCAGCAAAGAATATTTTGCCTTCAAAGTTTTTGTCGAGTAACAACAGAAAGTGCAGAAAAACTGTATAGTAAACTGGAATTTCTGAAAAGATTGAGAGGAAAAACTAAAGCAGAAACAGTATGAGTAACATATATTGCGCGGTAGATTTCTGGTAGAAGTGTTCAGATTTCTTGAAAAAAGAAAAAAGAAAAAAATCAGGATTACATACCTAAAATGTGCTTTCAGGCTGTATGCTGGCTTTGCTGCAGCTGCTAGCAAGCTTTATCAAGCCTGTGCCAGGTTTGGTATTGTGACTGGGGTTCTTAATGCGTAGTTAATGATTCCCAATGGAAAAAAGTAAATAAGCTTTCTGACTTTTTTGAGGAACTTAATTACACTAGAATGGACTTGACTGTGTAGCTTTGAAATCCAGTCATTTACTGTGTCTACTCTGAATAGAAAGCAAGGTTTAAATAGTAATTTTTTTCATCTTTTTAATTTTCAATTCTTGCTCTTTTGCCAGCTTGCTGGTAGACTTAGGAGTCTTGGTAGTGCTGCGTTTTCCTGACACTCCCATACCAAGGAATCTTCTTCCATGTGTTACTGTCAGTGAATTATGGCCATGGCTAAGGCAGGAAAATGTCAGAGGCTCATTTTTTATTTCACTAGAACAGATATTTTTTCTAGAGCTTTAGTTTTCATCACAGTGCTCAGAATGGGAAAGTGAGTAAATGGAAAATTTGGTGAATGGTTTGGCTTGTTGAATACTTATCCACCAGGTCAACATGCCGATTATTCATCCACTGGATCAGTTTAAGTGGATAAGAAATCTGCTTATGGTCATTTAAGTTGTTTTGTTCATTCATTACGGAAATCTTTTAAATATCCAGATAAGACTATTAACTTAGGAAGCCTTTGCTAGAAGAAATCTGTTCCACATCTGCATTCATAACAGATCCACATCTGTTCCGTACTTAGAGGGTCACTGAATTAAAACAGTTGCTTTTCTTTAAAAATAACAAAAAAAAAAAAGAAATCCAGATCTTTTCTGTAGTTTTTTACAGCTTTGCCTTCAAAACCCGTTGTTTAAAATCCCTTTTGATGTATGAAAGATTAATAGGTACCTGAGAAATTCAATGGTAGGACTGAAAATAAGAAAAACCTGTAGGGATTTGTTTTACTACTCTCATCTGTTTAAGTAGTTGTGACAAAAATTTATATAAATCCAGAGACGGGGTGTGGAGGTGGATATTCCCCTGCCTTTTCTTTTTCCCACCTACATTTTTTATCTCACTTCATGCTACTGAAAGCTAAACCTGCTCATTTCAAAAGATGGCAGGGAGCAATGGGCACAGGAGTTCCCTGCTGGGCCACTTTGCTTTGCCATACATCTCCCTGCTTCCATGCAATGAAGCCAGCATCCCTGAAGAAGTCAGATGCAGTTTATTGTCTGGAAATACTCTAAAAGGTCATACGCTGCCATGAGAAAAGTTCTCAAAAATGTAGTCTTTCTTGCTGTCTCGCCCAGCGCCAGATATGATCTCATGGCTTTTATTCCTTTGGAGCAGAGTCCCTTGGTAAGCACTCAGAATGGTTTCTTCTCATGCCTTTCTGGTTGTCCTCCTCTGCCACAGCATCCACCCAGCTTGCACACTGCCCTGCTTTCTCCCTTCCATTCTGCCACCGTGGCTCTGTGTCATGTTCTCTTCCTGCTGCATGTGTCTTTCCCTGGCACTCCAGATTCACCCCCTGCCTACAGGGGATGCTCCTGTGAGGAAACTCCCCGGGCCTGTTCTTCCACCTCCCCTGTCCCTGCCTGCAGTTCCAAGCAGCACCAAGATCCAAAGCAAAGCATTTTTTCTGGCTGCGCCTTGATTTAAAAATTGTATCTCTCTTCCAGCTGTTGTCCAGGAGCCCACAAACATTTGAAATGACTTATTTGATGAGGAGGCAGCTGAAAGTCTGTTTTTTTTCTACATAATTTATTCATTTAATTAGCTAGTTGGCTTTTTCGTTTTGACTCGTATGTTTACTTTCTTTAACCAGCCTCAGAACAGGGGCTGACCTTGATGGTTCACAGGGCTGTGAAGCATTGGGAGCATTTGTGTGGAGAGTTTTCTTTCCACCGATAGCACAGCCAGAGCGATCAATGGGGCAAGCATGTGGCTCCCAGCTCTGGCTCTGACAGCTCATGCATGTAGCTGACCCTGGGAGCTGGTGAGCAGCGGAGGGAAAGGGATTGTTTCCCAAGTATTGGAGCATTCTGCTCTCTGTGTGTCATGCCCTTATGTGTCCGTGTACATACATGCTCATCATGCAGCAAGGATGGTGTCCACACCAAAGCGATGCTCCCCAAGTCGGCGAGGTCAGTAGATGACATTGTTTAGTACCAGCAGAGCACAGGGATCAGCCTGTTGAATAGAAGGAGTTCCATTCAAAGTAGCATGTACAAAAAAATATGTACTTGACTCCTCTAAGAAATGTTTCTTCTAATATGCAATCAAGGATATAATTTATAATTTGTGCTTTTCTTTTTTTTTTTTTTTTTTGTCACTGGAGAAGAAATGTATTGGGAACATTTTGTGCCTACATGCTGTTAACAAATAGTTTCTTTTTACCGGTGGAAATATGATCCAGACCGAAGCGTAGCTAATATCCATTCAGTCAGAGAATATGCATCAGACTGTGCAGCATTCAGCGCGAGCTGTAAGGAGGCAGTGTCAAAGAACTCAACAGTGAGACACTGTTTTACATCCTCAACATGCTCATTCAACAAAATCTCTTCCAAAGAGGGAAGATGTTATGCTCATGTTTATATACAGGCTCTGCTCTTTGGCAAAGGTTGAGGCCAGGTGCCAGCCTGTAAAATGGTTGGATGCTCCTATCTAGCGCTGCTGGACACTGGTTCCCAAAGTATAAGCAACTCCTAAAATTGCTGGCTGACACCCAGCCAGGACTTCTCAGAAGTTCATCAGCAATTAATTTTACTGCTGCTACATGTCCTGAATACTAATAGGAGTGATAAAAAGGCAGTTTTTTCCAGGTCCTCAGCTGTTCTGAGGAGCTTGGGTTATCCTATTTGTGTATTGCAGACAGTTCACCAGAGAATATTGGATGCCGACTGGTTGGCTTGCAGTCAGATGGGGCAGAGGACCTGTTTCTCTAGCATTCCTGTGCTCTGCTTTGTACTCACCTTTCATAGTCATCACTATTTAATTATCTTTATAGCTGTAAAAATACTGTGTATTTGTGAATGTGTGCCAAATACAATTCCAGAGCAATAGACTCTGTAATCTGAATAGAATTAGAGTAGGCTCTGAATTGGTTTAAAGTCCTCTATTAAGTATTTCTGCTTCACTGGTTCTCAGAAATACTTAACATGAAAAGATTCGCTCATTCCCTCTAATAAAATTCTGTTCAGTATTATATTTACTTAAATTAAAAAAAAACAACAACTGTGGTTTCCAAACGCTGTTGCATTCTGCTACTGGTTTCCTAACTCTTCTTAATAATGTATATGAAACTGCTTATATTTTAAATGCTTTATTCCCCCCACCTGCTATTTATACCTAATTATACAAGCTATGTTACTAAGAATATGCCTTTTCTATCTTTTTTTTTTTATAAGTCATAGCGTAGTTAGTAGTATTCCCAGTTCAAAGGTGCCAAAATTAAAACCAAGGCCAGAAAAGACAATGAAGAGAAAAACAAGACCTAAAAAAAGGTTTATGAAGATTTGATTCGTCATTCTCCACTTTCTCTTTTGATTTATTCAGATCTTTTGCAGTATGCCTAGTTCACATTTGCCTGCAGTTCTTTAGTACTGAAGAGGGTTAGAAATATGGTTTATGAATTTTAATGAAAGTTGAGATTTTTATGTAATCATATGCTGGGAGTTTCACTAAATCTCCAAATAGAAGTGCACTTAAAGAGGTGAGAGCTGAGCCAAAGATGCTAATTTTTCTACTTTAGCATAGGTATCTCAGCCCCTCATACTGTTCCTTATTCCTTTGCAGGTATAATTGCACTAGTGTACATCTGGTTTGCATACAAATTTTAGTTTTACAGCCACGAAGTCTGGAGACTTCATAGTGTTTATAGGAAAAAAACCAAAAACCTTCACTTTACTGCACAGGATTCCACCTTAAATATAGAGTGAACTAGCTCTGTTTCACACCTCTTTCTCTCTGTGACTATGATTTTGATGTTAGGGTCTCTCCATTCTTGTCCTCCTCCATTCCTGACCCTCATGTCTCATGATCCAGGAGAGAGAGAGAGGCTGTTTTCCCTATGGACCTGTTAGCTAATTTGTAGGGTAGAGCAAGCCAGTTGGCTTCCATGGAACCCATCTTTTTAAGCATTCTTGAACATGCAGGAGTTGTTCTTGCTATTGAAAGTTGCCTTTCTCTTTGAGTTAAAACTGTCAGATCTAGGCTTCCAGGACAGTTTTGGATGAAATTCAAAGTAGGTGCTTGCCTTCTGAGCAAGATAAACTTCATGTCCGCATATTTGAGCTTGATTTTGGCTTTATCCTACCTTTTCTGCTGCTGGTACTCTTAACTCCAGCATGGTCAGTAATTGAGGAATCTGAAGTCATTTACCATGACTCTGGACCAAATCAATTCCTAGTAGTTTGGGGAGGAAATTGGAGGGTCTGGAACAAACCCTTCTGTTAGTGATAAAAATATATCCTTCTACTTCCAAATGTGCTTTTATGTCTGCCTCTCTGTTTACTTGCACACAACAATTAAATACTTTTTTTCCGCTCATATTCTGGTTTCAGAAGATTGACTCTGACTCAGGTAGTTTATGTGTGTTCTCTCTGTTTCTGGCTGTTGTCATTATGGCTAACAGACTAGAAGGCTGTGCTGCCATTCAGCAAGACCTGGACAGGCTGTAGAGTTGGGCGGAGACCTGATGAAATTCAGCAAGGTAAATAGGGTCTGAACCTGGGGAGGAATAACTGCATGCATAAGTGCAGATTTAGGAAAGGAGCTGGAAAAGAGCTTTGCAGAGAAGAACCTGGACATTCTGGTTGATAACAGGTTGGCCATGAGCTGACAGTGTGCTCTTGTGGCCAAGAAGGCCAGTGGTATCCTGTGATGTGTTAAAAAGAGCATTGAGGGAGTTGATACTTCACCACTCTGTCTTGGGAAGGCCACATCTGGAGTTCTGTGTCCAGTTCTGGGTTCCTTTCTTCAGGAAAGACAAGGAACTTCTGGAGAGGGGCCAAAGGGCAACAACGATGATGAGGGACCTGGAGTATCTCCCTTCTGAGGAAGGACTGAGAA